CCGTCTGCGTGGAGGTCTTATTGTCTACGTATAGTCTTGCTCCACCCCTCTTCACATGCAGGATGTATCGTTTCCTAGGTGAAGATTCATTCTGGAGACTTGTTTTTTTTTTTGTTTTTTTTTGTAATGAGGACCATTTCTCAATTTATGTGTGTCGCTCCAACTGTGACGAATGCCCCAGGGACAGGCCCGTGGCTACAAGGGCGTGTACCGGATTTTTTTTGAGAGCCCTTTTTCTGAAGTTGGTGCCCAAAACCCGTAGCATAACGCACGTGCGTTGTATACGAATACAATGCACGTCGTGCGTTTTGTTCGGGGGAAGACTGTAGCCCCCTCATAGTGTGAGAGAATGTCAGGACCTGTTTCCCGTAGCTCACCTCTCGTGTAGCAGAGGTTGTCTTCTGGTTCCTGGTATTGGAACTGGACCTCGTACTGTTCCTGTGGTCTTATCGTTCTACCAAATCTGTAGACGTCCTCATCCAAAATGCGATCAATGCCATGTTTTCCATCCATGTCTGATGGGATCATTGATCTTCATGAGGGGAAATCGTCATTGACAACGCAAAGCAACAGCTTTGACGCATGGAACACCGGATGCGTGTACCGATGGGCCGGGACGTCAACCGTATAGGAAGGACTATTTGGGCCTCCCTTGACATCTAGAACTTCCCATGGTCCTCGATACTCGGGTAGCAACTTCTGAGAAATCCCGTCTTCAGGTAAGAACTTTTTTGATTTGACCGAGACAAGATCTCCAACAGCGAATGTGATGGTCAATGATGCTGTTAGCTTGATCTGCCATTTGATGTTGGATCTTTTTAATGTTCTCTGCAACTCTACGCAGGTCTTTCTCATATTGCAGCATGAATTCCTTAGTGCCCGGCGGTGACCTCTGAATCTGATCAGGGCTCAGGCAATCGATAGGCCTCCTAGGGCACTATCCCTTGTGCTGTTCATTCTGTGTGCACGAGGTGGCTTGATGTACAGAGTTGTTGTACATGCTGGCTAACTTAGGTGAGTTCTCGTCCCAGTCAATCTGATCTGCCCTAATATACATGCTCAACACTTGCTGCAGTAACTCGTTCATCTTCTCTATCTGTCCGTCGTTTTCTGGGTGCCTAGTGGACAACATCGTCAATTTCATCAGCTGCTGCGAGTGCTCGCTGGTGAATCTAGTATCTCGATCACTAACTTCTCTGACATCAATTTTATTATATATTATCTATTTCTTTATTATTCTCTTTGTTTCATTTTTACTTTTTTTTTATCTCAATCTTTATCTAATACAAGTGGACGCGCCGCAGCCATGCTGCGGCAGAGGAGAGGGACGAACAGGGGGGCGGGGCTGTTGTTGATACACAGCTCGGGTTTTTTATTATTACAAGGGTACGTGTTGCGGCTTCGCTCGCAAGGGATTGAGGGGGAAATGGGCGAAATGAGTCGGGGTGGTGGGTTCGGTGGGTTTGGGGGTGGTGGTCGGGGGTGTTTTTAGACTCATGGTCCAGTGGGGGGTTGTACCCTAACAGCTATGGCAATGTGTGTGCAGCACCTCCTGCTGGTTGGGGAGGTTAGCCAACAGCTGGCTTTGGAAATCGGCATGCTATGTCTACCCCTACTGTCTTCCCCCGACTCTAGACTGAAATCCAGCGGCGTACCTTGGTTGGTATGGCACACAAGTGGCATTCATGAGGTTTTGGGTTCTCTCTCTCTCTCTCTCTCTCTCTCTCTCTCTCTCTCTCTCTCTCTCTCTCTCTCT